CATTAGTTCGCTTACATTAGCGAAGCAAGATAGTTCCTTCATGAATTGGATATCAAACATGACAAAAGGGATCTGGAAAGGTAATGAAGAAGACGATTCTCCTTTTGCAGCTCTTACCACCACCTCAGATGCTAATGGTCATGGCCAAGTCAATGCAATCGTTGACCAACAACAATTGAGTCCATGCTGTGTGAAGGAAAATAGTGGATGCAGAAACACTGGTTTCCAGTCTCTTTTCCAGTCTATATATTGTCCGAAGAAACGAAGTCAAGATGCCGTCGAGATGGATTTCCCGAATGATGCTAATGCTACTTCTTTGCAGGAACTTCCCTGGATTCCTGAACAATGTGGCATTGCCAAAGGGGATGACTTGTCTTCATCTGATAATGATATTGGTCCAGTGGCTGAACCCAACATTTCATCAGGAAAAGTTGGATTTAATCAGCGAAGCGAAACACTCTCGTCAGAGAACAAACGTGAGGACAAAGAACCAAACATCTCTTTGATGTCTCTTAGTAAGTCTAAGCCAAATGAAGAGCCAAAAATCTGCGGTGAAGCTGGTGGAAAGGTTAGTCCATGTTTAAACAACAGAAACTCTGGTCTTCAAAGTTTGTGGATAAGCCGGTTTTCTTCTAAAAGTCCGTTCCCTCAGAAAAAGACCAGTGAAACGGCTAAAGAGGTCAATGCTTCAGCCTCAGACACAGCTAAAACCCATGATTCGCAGAAAATGCTGGTAAATAATAATGTTGTAATACCCAGTATCAGCTCGGTAGATGGGCTCGATAAACTGAACACTGTCCTTCCCATAGTTTCGTCAATGAGAATAGAGTCTTCAGAAGCAATGGCTTCTTTGTTTGCTAGAAGGTTAGAAGCAATGAAACACATCATACCCGCAGGTTCTTTAGCTGAGAATGCGGAGGAGGAACAGCCAAATCTAATCTGTTTCTACTGCGGTAAAAAGGGTCATTGTTTACAGGATTGTTTGGAAGTAACTGATACTGAGCTCAGAGATCTAGTACAGAACATAAGTTCTCGGAATGGAAGAGAAGAAGCGTCAAGTCTATGCATTAGATGTTTTCAGCTAAGTCACTGGGCTGCAACATGCCCGAATGGTCCACTGTATAGTTCAGGAGCTGAAGATAGAGCTATGAAGCACACTTTAGCTTCTACCTCTGGCATGAAGCTGCCCGTAAGTGGTTTCACAGATGTACCAAAGGCGGTCTTTGAGGCTGTTCAAGTGCTTCGCCTCAGCCGCACAGACGTTCTCAAGTAAGATCTAGTTCACACTTGCAAGACTGTTTCCCCTGTCACATTATGAGGCTTTAACATCTTTTTTGACATTTCATTTCAGATGGATAAACACCAAGAAGTCTGTATCAGGTCTCGAAGGGTTCTTCTTGCGGTTAAGGCTCGGGAAATGGGAAGAAGGTCTTGGAGGAACAGGGTACTACGTAGCCCGCATAGATGGTTGGTACACTTTCATATAAATCAGTACTCAAAATCGTGTATTTCTCGAATATTTACAACTGAAAATATGTTGGTATTAACCTGGGGACACAGAGGGACAAAGCTCAAGGAGACCTTCAGAGAAGAGCTCAATCTCAGTTAAGGTTAAAGGTGTGACTTGCCTTGTTGAGTCTCAATTTATATCAAACCACGACTTTCTTGAGGTATTATAATGAATTGACCAGTTACGTCAAAAGTTTTGAAATTTTGTCAAAACAAATCCCAATTGTAATTTGTTGTCTTTGTATGATTTATTTGAGCAGGAGGAGTTGAAGGCATGGTGGCGGAGCGCAGGGAAAAGTGCCGAAAGAAGCGGCTGCGAGGGCATCCCATCGGCAGAGGAACTTAGTCGGAAAATTCAGCAGAGAAAGATGTTAAATAGATAATACTTGTTTGAGGAGCAAAGGTTTTTGCTTAATAGGTTTTACGTTTACACGTGTATTTTTTAGTTTTGTTAAAAAAGAGAGTGTACAATTTCTTGCTAATGCAGAGGGCATCGAATGTCTCAAACCAGGCAACAATCTAAAACTGGATGTCCAATCTATTTAGATTTGCGAGTTTTATGTGTATAGTCTATGTGAAGGATCTCAAGTATCATGGAAGAACAAAGTACATTGATATCAAGAGAGATATTGTGGTCAAGAGCAAGTGTTTGCTCATTTTCATGCGGTAGCTATGAGCCTATGAAGATGCAACCTTTGAATCAATTTCTGTATTAAGTCAAGGTTCATGGCATACAAAACTGCCTTCAATGTCTCTAACAACACAGAAGAACTCAGTTTTGGAGAGGTAGTAGTAATGCTTCAAGCACATTAGATGAAACTTGGGGGAATCAAGAAACCAAAAGGATTGGCATTCACATCGTGTGAAAGTAAGTCTCAAACAGAGGAAGAAGATCCTGTGAGTCTACTGGTTCGAAGATTTGATCGAGCACTAAGGAAAGTCGAGCAGGGACAAGGTCAGAAGCGGTTTGGTTAATTTTAAAAGAAATCATAAGAAAACAAACCATCGAGAAAAGCTGATATGCAGTGTCACGAATGCGAAGGTTATGGACACTTTGTTCGTGAATGTCCAACAGTTAAAAGACGTGAAGGTAAGTGTTCATCATGTAAGGGAATGGTTTGTTTGTCTTTTGCGCAGACACTCTTTTGATTGATTGTTAATAGAATTGCTTTTATGTTTTCAGATGGGCAATGAGTCTCTTTTTATTGTGCAAAAAGAGTTTAATTTGTACCAGCCTGGTGACGTTGGTTGCATGACACATTTAACTTTTTGTTTGACGATGTGAACATCTGATATCTTGCTTTTGTTTAAGTTTTTTTGTTGGGTTAAACACTTGATTATATCTTTTTATCTAGAGTTCTTAGTAAACGAAGTGAACCTCAAAACTAGCTTCTCCTCTTTTTGTTGCATCATTCTTTGAGTTATCTCTCAATACACATAACACAACACACAAGAGTGACAAAGATGAGACATTTGAACAAGTGTAATACATGATTCTGATTATATATTGGTTATCTAGCTATATTTTATTTTTTAATCAATAAAATGTATGGTTTATTTTCTACTGGCTTTATTTTCCGAATATAAGGCATGGGTCCGGATAAAATAAAATAAAAAAGTACATTAAAAAAAAATGTTTCTAGGGTTAGGCGGCGTCACCTATTTATTTGGTGTTTAAGTTTAGTTGTTTGTCTTTTACGCAGACACTCTTTTGTTTTGAGGCTTTGTGGATTTTTAGGGTATCATCAATCCAACAATGGTTAGTTCCTCGATTCCTCGATTTCTAAATTTTGTTTCCGTGATTAGGTTTTCGAACATTATTGTGGTTGTAATTCTCTCCTCATGTGAAACTATAGGCGGATGTGGAACCAGAGGTTGCTGCGGCTGGAATTATGAAAAAGAGAACGTTCAAGAAGTTTTCTTTCAGAGGAGTCGATCTCGATGCGCTTCTCGACATGTCCACCGATGATCTTGTCAAGCATTTCAGTGCTCGTGTTCGCAGAAGGTTGGTTTCTTTCTTAGAACCAAGAAAAAGCTTTTGTCTCTTCTTGGTTCTGTGAGACTTATGTGTTTTGTTGTCTTTGAAGGTTCTCTAGAGGATTGACCAGGAAACCTATGGCTTTGATCAAGAAATTGCGCAAAGCGGTAAAAACCCTTATTCTTTCATCACTAATTAGATCTTTGTAAAAACCCTTATTCTTTCATCACTAATTAGATCTTTGTTGAAACATATATACACAATTGTCAAATTACTGTTTTTTATTTTATTTTCCTTAAAATCAAATTACTGATTTTTAGTTTGGCTTATGTGACGATTGCTGCATTGGTTTTTTTTTTTAATGGCTAATAGACTCATTGTTATCATCAGCCTATTTTCGCATGATAATGTTAAGTTTGTATTCCATCTCTATGCATATATATATATTCATTCTTCCCTATGTAATTTTGTGTTTGATCTTGGCTAGGAAATGGCTTTAATAGTAAAGATTATGACTTTAGATTACTCAAATCTCTTGTGTGACGATTATGACGTTGTGTCTTTAGTTTATAATTCATACCTCATTTTTGTGCTAATCCGTGTAATCCATCTATTATAATTTTGTGTTTGTCCTTTGCAACCAAATAGTTTTAAAGACCAAAAGAGTAAATAATTTTTGTGTGTTTGAGCAGAAAATAGAGGCACCAGCTGGTGAGAAGCCAGCAGCAGTGAGAACACACTTGAGGAACATGATCATTGTGCCTGAAATGATTGGAAGTATCATTGGTGTGTACAACGGAAAGACTTTTAACCAAGTCGAGATCAAACCGGAGATGATTGGACATTACTTGGCTGAATTCTCAATCTCCTACAAACCGGTTAAGCATGGTAGGCCTGGTGTTGGTGCTACCAATTCCTCCAGGTTTATTCCTCTCAAGTGAAGAAGCTATCTCCAAATATATCTTCTTTAGATGACTTTTATCTCCTTTTTGAGTTTTGATTTTCGAACTTATCGTTATTATTATTGATGACTTTCTATTTAATACCACCAAGGGGTTTTAAATTTGAGTACTCTATATAAAATTATTGATTTTGCTTCTCATACATTTTACTAATTTCTATGTTTTAAATAGTAATAAGTTTTGGTTCAAGCTAAAAGGAGCTGTTTTCTATTTGGTTCTTTCTCATTTTGACTCGGTAGGTAAAGTTTACTATCCATTTTTGTATTTTTCTTTGACAAATCTATGGTCTTCTTTGACGATTATAAGTAATAAATAATGGACATCATGGTGAACAAGTGTATGCCAATAATATTGTTCTCAATTATTAAGACTGTAACACACTATACACTAGTACCGACCTTAACACTAATATATTAGTAAGTTGAAGAGAAACATAATACAATAATACAGTAGAACCTCTTTAAATTAATACTCGATAAATTAATAAATACGATAAATTAATAAATTTGGCCGGTCCCGAATCGGAGCAGTGTAAAAATTAACCAAATTCGATAAGATAATAAGATAATAATTTTTTTTGAAATCCCTATGTAAAAATATAGTCCCAATAATATCATAAATTAATAATCATGTAAATATGCACATATATATATATATATATATATATATATATATATAATAGTTTTAGTGTTTTTTCATAAAAATAGCTAAAAGTTTTTTTAAGTTTTCAAATTTTGAATATGTATAATTTTTGTTTTAATAGTCGTATAGATTTTTAAAATACAACAATGTATGTCACAATTTGTGAATTTTAGTTTATGTATATCGTTTGTATATGTTAATCTATAATCGTTGTTATTCATTGTCAAAATATATTATTTTCTCTTCAAAATATTAAGTGTTTAAGGCTAAACCTATAAATTTTTTTTTTTTTTTTTGTCAACCACACATTAATTAATAAATAATTCCTTGATTGGTTGTCCAATTAGGAGGAGTAGAGTTTACAAAAGTAACTTCAGAAAATAAAAGTCTAGAAGAACGGGCTAAGCAGTCCGCTTGAACATTGCATAAACGAGAAATAAGAGAAAGCGAGAAGAAAGGGAAAGAGACACGGAGAAAACCAAACTCGTCTAGAAGATTGGAGAAAGCAGGCCATTCATCCGGTGACTGTATCATCGAGACTAACTCCGAGCAGTCTGATTCAAACACCTGACAATCGATCCCTCTTGAAAGGATATTCTTCATAGCCCAAATTAAAGCTTCCATCTCCGAGTGAAGAGGGGAGGGACACCTCCGAAGGCACTTTGCACCGAGCAGTATCGTTTGATCATTTTCTTGAAAACACCACCATCCTATACCCATTGTTGGATCTGAATTTTTCCAAGAACCATCAATACGACATCTTATAGATTGAACCGGTCGTTCCAAAGTTTCCGTAGTAGAACTAGTTTCGATCGGATCCAACTGAGCTTCTTCCCACATTAATTTTTCACTCCAAGCATGATTTAAAATATCTCTGGGTTCAGATTGTAATCCCTTGAAAACCTTTTTATTCCTATCTTTCTAGATGAACCACAAAATCCAAGCATAACTGAAAGTTTTCTCTCCCCCATCTAGATTAGATGGTAACCTCCAATAAAGATAATCTAGATTTGAGAATTCCGAGGTTAGAGGAAAACTACATATTGCCGTAGGTATATCGGATAATTCCCATATTATCTGAGAATGAGTGCACTCAAATAAAGCATGATTTATTGTTTCCTCTGCCATCTCACACCTTTTACAGAGAGAGTCACATTGGTTGTTCAGGGTGTCGGCGGTTGATTCGGATTCATGAAGTCTACTCTGAACACCAGAAAGCTCATCCTGGAGTTTGAAATTTTGGTCGTACTGGTCCTGTAGCTCCCCCTTTATCTTCGCAAGCTCGGATGATAGACCATCAACCTTGTCCTCCAAATCATGCTTGGAGTTGGTAGAAGAACGGAGGTCAGCCTCGAGATTAGAAAACTTGTCCTTCCACGTGTCGATCTCCTTCTCCCGACCAATGACCAACCCTTCGTAATGTTCAATTATGTCATTGAGCTCGCCGTTCGCCTGATATTACACATAAACCCGGAATGACGGATCAGTTCGAAGAAGACAGTAAAGTCAGAAAAATGAAGCAGAACTAACCCGAGATGAATGATGAGCATGAAGTAGGTATCGTTCACGAATTGCAGAGCGCCACTTGTTGAATTCCGGCAGGATCGCACCTGACCGGGTTTTGAAGCACCAAAAAACGTTACCCTCTTTCTCCATGGCTACGAAAGCAAAAGAGGAAAGGTCTTAGAAATTCAAAATAAGTACAAGACGAAAAGAAAAGAATACATGTATATCGTCATACCTGAGAGCGATTTGATCTGAGGAACAAGAGCAGGCTTTGTCTTCGGAGAATCATCTCGAGACTCAGAACTATCCTTCTGAGAAGCTGCACCCAGGTTCGTCTTCTCACCACTACGTTGAGAAGAAGAAGACATATCAGCAGGACGAGGAGGACCCATTGGTTCAGTAGGAGGGGACGATCGAGGAGAACGGTCAGTCCGGGCCCTTGACTTCTCTCTTCGCGGAGAAGAACCACTGCGGGATGACCTGTCCCTCTTTTTGCGAATTAAATCCTTAAGCGGTTCGTTGCTAAAGTCATCCCGGGAAGAACGATGAGAATCACGGTTAGGAGATTGAAGCCTCCGGGGAGGACGGTCATCGTGACGTTCACGTCGAGGTGTCAATCTGAAAACGGCGACGGATCTGGCTCCTTTGGTGCTACCGTCGTCAACCAATAAGGTTTTGCTATAATCTTTTTTGTCAATGGCGGTCGCAAGGAACGCCTTGTTCTCGTCGCAAGCCTCAGCCATCGGCTTGGAGATCATTTTTCGCTGGGCAGTGAGAGCCCGAGCTGACATTCCCTGGGTTGAGGGAGGAGGCGGAAGACGATGAAGTTGATTGGGAGGGCTCATCCTGAGTTTTCGATTGGCTTCTATGAACCGTTCGAGAGTGAAAGAATTCCAAAGGGTTTCCCCTTCGAGGATTATTTTGAAGAAGCCAATGAATTCTTCAGTTGGTAAAGTCGGAGCGACGAAAGCTGCGAAGTGAAAATAACAAGTTTAATCAATAGGAATAATAAAATTGGAGGAATGCATGCGACCCAATTTCTACCAGGTTTCGCGGACCACTTCGATGGAAGTAAATATGATAGACTTCCAATCGAAGCAGGGGTTTTCTTAATCAGGAACCAAGGGTGATGCCAATTTTCATCCTTGTTTGGAAGATGTGAAATGACGTTCCTGTTAGCATTAGGGTATGCCGAGAAATACCCTGTCTTCTTCGATGAACTTCTCACGCTTAGAAGCTCATTCAACTCGGGGACCCCTATAATGTATCCGGCTTCCGCCGCTACTGTTATAATTCCAGGTATGGTTCGGAGAAGATTGGGGGTTAATTGAGGAAGAGCGATCTCGAGAACCGCCAAGTACCAAACCAGGGCTTCGAGAAGCGGGAAGGTTAATCCGCAACCCTTGAAATAAATCTCGTACACACAGAAGTAACCATCGCGATGGTTCTCTGGGGATTCTGTGGGGGCAGCTATTTGTGCTTCCGCCATAATTTCCGGCGGAATCCGGCAAAGCTCTCTCAACCGCTCGAGGGATTGAAGAGTACAAGTGGATCTATAGTGCGGACCGGCAATATCATTAGGGCGAGCGCACTCATCATTATTAGGGCGCCTATCGTCGAATGACGGAGATTCAGGTCTTTCAGAATCAAAAGTCATTGGGGAAAATGAAAGGTTCGAGATCCGACGAAGAGAAATTTGGCGAAGGAAAAGAAGAGAGAAGTTTCGAATAAAGTGCAAATGTAAAAGTAGAAAATGATGATGAAAAGAAGTTACCTTACACAAGCTAAATGATGGAACCGCCTCAGAAGTTGTGTGGGAAGTGGGAAGGTTTTTTCCGTTTTAATAGTAATTAATTAATATACGGTCATAATGATGACAGATGTTACTCGGGTAAAAATGGCTAGTGCCGAAATTAAAGGAGTGATGAGATTTTCGGCGGGAAATCAGAAAGATTCTCGAGCGCAATCTTTGGTCATTTAAGCATTTAAAGTCCTCCGAATTGGAATGGCACTTCGAAGAACTTGGGGGGCTAATTGTTGGTGTCGGATCCCGCACCAGAGGTCCAGGACCAACCAAAGATTGCCACGTAGTCAGGGTAGCGGCCCATAAAGGATAAAGCCCATCAGACCCACGAGTCAGAAGAACAATCGAAGTGGTTATCACCATAAGGAGAATTCGAAGTGACTGCACCTCGACACGAGTCCGGAGACGAGGTCATGGTTAAGTCGGTCCAAGGATATTTGGGTCAAAAGGCGAGGCCCATGAAGATCAGAATCAACTCAAATTCGAACGTTGAGCATTAAAACCAAAGATCAAAACAGACACATTTAAGAGAGAATAATTGTACTTAATTAGCCATTTAAATGTCGTTTTTCTATGTATAAATATAAAGGCCAATGGCCATGTAAGGGATCTCTCTCTCTCTCTTGAGGAAGAAATACTATAGCAATTTTTGTAGCAATTCATAAGCCTTTTACGTTCTTATTTTTTGTCCCTCAAGAATAATCTTTCCTATTAATAAAAATACTTGAGTGTGTGAATCCGACTTCCACATTTTGGCGCCGTCTGTGGGGATAGAGGATTCTTGAGTGGTCAGATTTTTCTTTACTACATTCCCGAGATAAGCAGCAATGTCCGGAGGAGACGCCGTTGAGACATCATTGGCCGAAACCCTCAAAGTTATGCAGCAAACCATGTCGGACATATCACAAAAGTTCTCGGATGTGGATAAGGCTGTCGATACGTTGCAAACATCCCAGGTATCTCTTAGTCAAAACGTCAATACTATACAAACTCGTGTTCGCTCTTTAAGTGCAGGAAATCCTGTGGGAATCCGGAGGAGGATACTCAACTCGCCAAGTTCCGTTGCGCGAAATGAAACCAGCGGACAAACAACTCCTGGTACTACTAATAATGTAGTTCAGCCATTGGATGGAGAGGCACAGCTCGAAGATGAAGCTCAACTTGCAGATCAATTCGAGCAGGAAAACCTCGACCAGTTCGAGACTATGAGGAAGGTTAGCCAAGAACTAAAAGAAATGAAGTCAAAGTTCCATCAGGCTACAAGTTCGGAGCCGGATATCAATCGAGTCATTGAAGAAGCTAGGCGAACACCTTTCATCTCGCGAATTGCGAGTTTGAGAATCAAAGATTCCCGGAAGCTCAAGTTGGACCCTTACAGCGGATTGGAGGATCCAAAGAGCTATCTCGCAGCTTTTTTGATCGCTGCTGGAAGAGTCGAATTGGATGAAGCTGATGAGGATGCAGGTTACTGCAAGCTTTTTCGGAAAATCTATGCGGCCAAGCTTTAATGTGGTTCACCCAATTAGAGCCGGGTTCGATCAGCAATTTCGACGAGCTATCAGCTGTATTCTTAAAGCAATATTCCATCCTTATGGATAAAAGCGTTTCGGATGCCGATCTTTGGAACTTATCACAAGGATCAAATGAATCACTTCGAGTTTTCATCACCAAGTTCAAAGGAGTGCTGTCAAAGCTCCCAAGAATCTCACAACAATCAGCTTTATCTGCCTTACGAAAAGGATTGCGACATGATTCAAGATTTAAAGAAGATTTAATACTTCATAAACCAGACATAATTCAGGATGCACTCTTCCGCGCAAACAACTGGATGGAGGTAGAGGACGAAAAAGAAAATTTTGCCAAAAGAAATAAGCAAGAGAAGCCGGCAATCACCGTCCCTACCAAGAAGTTCGAACCCAGGGAGAACAAAGGACCAAAGAAATTTGGGTCGCAACCCTTCAACAGTACCGTCGGAAAGCAATTCCAAGGGAAAGGAAGATCAAACACTTGGGTCCGTGATGAAAGTTTATATTGCGACATTCATAAAGTGACCGGACATTTAACCAAGGATTGTAGCGTTCTTAAAAGGCACCTCGCAGAGCTTTGGGCCAGTGGAGATCTTTCCAAATTCGATATAAAAGATTTTGTGAAGGAATACCACGAAGCAAAGGAAAATTCCAAAGATCAAAATTCCAAAAGACCAAGGTTAACCAACGAGGAAGAACCAAGGAATTCTAAGGGTAAGATCAATGTTATTCTAGGAGGTTCCAAATTTTATCGAGATTCGATAAGTTCCATCAAGAAACATAGACGAAATGTCCTACTCAAAGCAAGCTTGAGCGAAGAAGTCGATTTTCAAGGTGCGTCAATATCATTTAATGAAGAAGAAACGCGGCACCTCGAAAGACCTCATGATGATGCTCTAGTCATTACCCTTGACGTTGCCAACTTCGAAGTATCAAGGATCCTTATAGATACAGGCAGTTCGGTCGACTTGATCTTTTTAAGTACTTTAGAAAGAATGGCAATTAGTCGGGCGGACATAGTGGGGCCTCCGTCTCCATTAGTTGCATTCACAAGTGAGTCAGCCATGTCTCTCGGGACAATCAAGCTACCGGTCCTTGCCAAAAAGGTATCGAAGATCGTGGACTTCGTTGTCTTCGATAAGCCCGCAACTTACAACATCATCCTCGGGACTCCCTGGATTTATCAAATGAAAGCAGTCCCCTCTACATATCATCAATGTATCAAATTTCCAACATCAAGAGGAGTGGAAACAATTCGGGGAGATCAAGAAGCTTCACGGACGTGTTATCTAGCTAGCCACCGTATGAAGATTCAATAGCAATTAACGAAGCCCGCAAAAGAAGGACTAAGAACAAAATTTCCTAGCGGGCAGAAAAAAGATGATGTAGTAATTGAAGTGGTGTTGGAAGAAGACAAACCGGACCGGAAAATTCGAATTGGGGCAACTTTGACTGGCCAAATAAAAGAAGCTTTGATCGAACTTTTGAGAAAAAACATAACATCATTCCATGGTCAGCGGCAGATATGCCCGGCATAGATCCAAGCATAATTTGTCATGAACTAAACGTGGATCCAAGCTTCAAGCCGGTGAAACAAAAGAGAAGAAAGCTCGGAGTGGAGCGAGCAAAAATAGTAAATGACGAAGTAGATAAACTTTTGAAAATAGGATCCATAAGAGAAGTGCAATACCCGAAGTGGGTAGCAAACACTATCGTTGTCAAGAAGAAGAATGGGAAAGATAGGGTTTGCATCGACTTCACAGACCTCAATAAAGCATGTCCCAAAGACAGTTTCCCGCTCCCGCATATAGATCGACTTGTAGAATCCACCGCTGGAAATGAGCTATTAACATTCATGGACGCTTTCTCGGGTTATAATCAAATAATGATGAACCCCGAAGACCAAGAAAAAACGTCATTTATCACTGATAGAGGTATCTATTGTTATAAGGTAATGCCTTTCGGTTTGAAAAATGCAGGGGCAACTTATCAACGGTTGGTTAATAAAATGTTCCACCATCATCTCGGGAAAACAATGGAAGTCTACATAGATGATATGTTGGTTAAATCGTTAAAGAAAGAGGATCACGTTAAGCATTTAGAGGAATGTTTTGATATTCTCAATAAATATCAAATGAAGCTGAACCCGGCGAAGTGCACATTTAGAGTCCCATCCGGAGAATTTCTTGGCTATATCGTGACATAAAGAGGGATTGAAGCCAATCCAAATCAAATTAACGCCTTTCTGAACATGCCATCTCCAAGAAACTTCAAGGAAGTACAACGGTTGACTGGGCGGATTGCGGCTTTGAATCGTTTTATCTCGAGATCAACAGATAAGTCGTTACCTTTCTACCAAATTCTAAAAGGAAACAAAGGATTCCTTTGGGATGAGAAGTGTGAAGAAGCTTTTGGGCAGCTTAAGGCATACTTAACCACTCCACCTATACTGTCCAAACCAGAAGTGGATGAAAAACTTTATTTGTACGTGTCGGTTTCAAACCACGCGGTTAGTGGAGTCTTGGTTCGGGAAGACCGCGGGGAGCAAAAGCTAATTTACTACGTAAGCAAGTCAATGACGGATCCGGAAACCAGATACACAATGATGGAAAAACTCGCACTCGCAGTGGTGACTTCGGCTCGGAAGCTGCGCCCATATTTTCAATCCCATCCGGTTGAAGTATTAACCAACCAACCACTCCGAACAATACTTCATAGTCCAAGTCAGTCCGGACGTTTGGCGAAATGGGCGGTGGAATTAAGCGAGTACGATATAGAATTCAAAAGCCGGATCAGTATGAAGGCTCAGGTTTTAGCAGACTTCTTGACCGAGCTACCAATACCTGGAACGATAGAGCAACCGGAGAACCAAACTTGGAAATTACATGTAGATGGGTCTTCAACAAAGCAAGGATCCGGAGTGGGAATCAATTTGGAGTCTCCAACATCAGAAATTCTAGAACAGTCATTCCGATTGTTATTCAATGCATCTAATAATGAGGCAGAATATGAAGCCCTGATTGCCGGACTTCGATTGGCACAAGGAGTTGGAGCTAAGGAAATAGTGGCTTATTGTGATTCGCAATTAGTAGTTAACCAGTTTAATGGAGACTATGAAGCCAAAGACTCAAGAATGGAAGCGTACCTCGAAGTGGTGAAGGATCTATCTAAAAATTTCTTGAAATTCGAATTAATCCGCATACTTCGGGGAGAGAATACAACTGCGGACGCACTTGCCGCATTGGCGTCAACATCAGATCTTGAGTTGAAAAGAATTATTCCAGTGGAATGCATTTCAGAGCGAAGCATTCAAGACAACAAAGAAACCCTCGTCGTTACAAGGTCTCGAGCAGCGGCACGTGACCGTGGCGAACCAGAGATCGAACCGCCACCCAACAAACGGAGGAAGTCAAAGGGATCAAACACATCTAACAAGGAACCCGTTTTCTTAGTAGAAGATGTGATTCCAGAAACGATATTAGAAACCGAGCCGTTAATCGAGGAAGATATTCTTGAACCAAACGAACATCCCGAGCCAGAGCCACGAGTATTTCACAAGGTTGACCAAATTCCGGCTAAAGACTGGGGGGCTGACTGGAGGGAGCCAATAAAGCACTACATCATGACAGGTGAGCTCCCAAAGAATAAGTGGCAGGCCAGGAAAATGAAAATCGTTAGCGCGAAATTTTGTCTATCAAAGGATGCGTTATATAGACGAGGTGTCAGTGACCCTTACCTATTATGGATTTTTGGGCCCGAAGTCGAAATCGTCATGAGCGAAGTGCATGAAGGATTATGTGGGAGTCATTCATCAGGAAGAGCTATGGCTTTTAAAGTTAAAAGAATGGGATACTATTGGCCCACTATGATCACGGATTGTGTTAAATTTGCCCAAAAATGTAAGCGCTGCCAACTCCATGCACCATTGATCCATCAACCTTCGGAATTATTCTCTTCCATCTCCGCCCCGTACCCGTTTATGAGGTGGTCAATGGACATCATTGGACCATTGCACAGATCAACTCGAGGTGTACAATACCTTTTGGTCTTGACAGACTACTTTTCAAAATGGATTGAAGCTGAGGCATATGTTGGCATCAAGGATTCGGCGGTAAAGACTTTCATTTGGAAGAATATTATATGTCGACATGGAGTTCCGTATGAAATAGTCACCGATAACGGGCCACAATTCATTTCACAAGAGTTTGATGCCTTTTGTGCGGACTGGGAATCAAAGTCAGTTACTCTACTCCACGATATCCGCAAGGAAACGGTCAAGCTGAAGCCGCGAACAAGACGATATTGAGCAATCTCAAGAAACGTTTGAATCATCTAAAGGGAGGATGGTACGAAGAACTCCAACCCATCCTATGGGCCTATCGTACAACCCCTAGGCGACCTACCGGAGAAACTCCATTCTCTTTGGTTTATGGCATGGAGGCAGTAGTACCAGCTGAACTCAACGTGCCTAGACTTCGCCGAACAGAAGCACCATTAAATGAGGAAGAAAATTCAGCAATGCTTAATGATTCACTAGATACCATAAATGAAAGGCGTGATCAAGCTTTGATTCGGATTCAAAACTACCAGCAGGCAGCAGCCCGATATTACAATTCTAAAGTCAAAAGTAGGCCGTTCTTCGTAGGAGATTATGTGTTAAGACGCGTCTTTGACAATAAAAAAGAAGAAGGTGCCGGTAAACTTGGTATTAATTGGGAAGGACCTTACATTGTTACCGAAGTGGTTCGGAATTGGGAAAGACTTAGAAGACAGGACAGTCAAGCGACCTTGGAATGTGATCAACCTAAAGAAGTATTATATTTAAAGCTAAATGCATTTTATATGTACATGAACTACGGTGTGGCTTGATCCTGAAATGGGTACGTAGGCAGCTCGGAAACGAGTTCAGCTATTAATAAAAATTTGTTTTATTTCTGTATTAAAGGGAAAGGTTCGACTGTGCGAACAAATGAAGCAAATAAAGGTTCGACTATGCGAACATACAAGGGATTGGAAATAGAGCGTTTATTCAAAAAAAAAAAAAAAAGGATGAAATGTCCCTCATCGAACACCTCGGGTTATGGAGATCTTGTTGACGAGCAGAACACTTCAACTCCTTGACCAGCAAGGTCGAGGATTGGCATCATGCAGTCCGGAATTCGAGCGAAGTCAGAGATTCCGAGCTCGACCCATTCTCCAGGGTGAGATTCAAGGATGTGAAGATCTCTTGATACCGTAGTAAGCCTGCGTTTCATCCGGTTAATCTTCTTCCGGAGTCTCCTCTTTTCCAACGTAAGCTTCCGATGTTGAAGCGCAAGTGCCTCTATGAACGCCATCGCTGTTCCTTGGTCTCTGATTGGGAGATCCCTGATCAAAGCACATGGAGCTCGGATCTGGGATCTTAGGAAGCCGCGATGTGGAAGAGGCCGCCTATTTGGCTCATTTCGGGCATCTTCGTGTATCATTCCGATCCTGGAGAATTTGGGCATAGATTCTGAACATCGAAGGTTGAACTCCATACCTGCTAAAATGAAAAAGAGTGGTAAGGAAAAAAGAGAAGTTAATACTGTAATTTATAAGAGTATCATATTCCTAGTAAGCTGCGGATTCTATCCTAATAATGGAATGATTTGCGGAGAGATTTATGCCCTTAAACCAATCCTGCATTGAAAGACGCATCTCCGATAATATTTGAAGAATAAAGAAAATTGCAAAAGTTTCCATAAATAAAAAGGGGGCCGAAGCCCATTACGAGTTCAAAGTAGGAGCAGAGTTAGGGAACATTTAAGGAAGAGGCTCAGGAACAGGCTCCTTCATTGCCGGTTTAACTTTCGAAGTGGACGCCTTGTTCTTGGCATCCACTTCGGGACAATCTCGAACGCGTTTTTGACAGGTGCTGGCCTTCTCCTCGTCTTCTTCTTCGCTGTCAGATGGAACGGTATAGACCGGGGCATTCACGGGACCCGGGACTCCTTTAGCGCGGAGATACATCCGTAGCATCTTCGGGATCTCAGCGACAGAATCAAAGTTCCGCCATTCCCATTGAAATGGATCACTTTCCAAAGCCCGTATCTTCCTCAACACCCGAGCGATGCGAGCCTCGAGTGTTTGCCTTTTGAGGCCCAGCCGCTGCCTCTCTTCACACAAGCGACGGTGTTTGTCGGCAACCTAGTATAAAGATGAATGAATAAGATGAAACAAAAAGTTTTTTTTATCAAAGACGACAGATATTAACCTTATCAATAAAGTCGCAAGCCTCTTTCTTCTCCTTTAAAGGAAAGTGAAAGACGGCGTGAGGGAAAAGAACGCCGGCCGGTTCAAAGCCGTCGTCGGACAAGAAGAGTGGGCTGCCGGGATCAATAGGGGCTACTTTTTCGTTTTCCATTCTCATAATATTTCTCAAGTAAGATTCTAAAATCGTATTTAAAGAAAGCTTAGAAGTAGGTAAGCCTTTATTTATAATGGTTTAGGGTTTGTCTTGGAACCATAAATCCAATAATGGTAGTGTGCCCGAGTGGTTTAAACCATTTTTGGAAATAAAGAAAAGGCAGTTATTGCATTAAAGACGAGCCGTTTTTCCTACTTTTAAGAAATAAGAAGGGAAAGAGCAACCGTCGCATTAACTACAAAAGTTTCTAAGGCCCAAGCCCAATAAATTTATCGAGTTGACTAAACCCGAAGTGGGGAACTCGCTTTAAGCCGAGCTCAGTTCTCGCATTCTTAAGAGAAAGGCCTGATCAGCCTAAAAATCTCAAAAGCATAACCACAAGGCCACAAAGGGTTAAAAGCGGACTTTGCAAACCCGCACTTAATTTTAACCAAACCCCCTTGGGGTCAAAACCTAGAAAGGTTTAAAAGCCTCCTCAGGCAAATATCTTGTTCAAAAGAAATAATAAAGCCTCCTTAGGCAAAAACAAGTTCGAAATTAAGTTTTAAAATAAAAGGGACAATTCCCAATTTAAAGTGGACGCAGCCACTACGAAGTAACAGCCACCTCGGACTCCGGCTCGGCAGTCGAAGTTTCATTCGCCTCCTTGACTGGTGCTTGGTCAGATGGGGCTCCTGGTCCGTCCTCCACAGTACAACCATCCTCCGGGGTGACCTCCGCTGCCACAGGAACTTCGGGTGGGACGACATCTTCCGTCTCACTTGAGCCTGGGAAGGGCAGTCCTAGTCAATTTTAAAAACATAAGGTAAGAAAAAGATAGTAAGTGTCAGGAGCCAAGCGTTACCTGCCCAATCTAGACCCGATTCACTAATAGGAGGCAATTTAGTGAAGAATTCCTCGAAGTCCTGCGGGTTGAAGGTCGAAGTAGGAAGAGCTGCCAAGCGACTCCGCTTTTCAGAAAGATTAGCCGACAGTTCGGTCCTCTCTTGCTCCTCGGAGAAATCTGTATCATGGATTTGATCCAACAAGATCAGGTTGCTCTCGTGCTCCTTGATGTCTGATTCCAAATCTGACCTAGCTTTCTCGGTCTGCATGAAGCGGATGGCCCCTTGGATCAACTCCATCCCGCGTCCCTTAACCTCCTTTCTGGCTTTCGATGCCGACCTCGCCAACTCGGAATCACGCAATTTGGCAATCGCCTTGTACTTCGCGTTAAGCTCAATAAGCTGGTTATTCAGGGTGTCGGCGGTTGATTCGGATTCATGAAGTCTACCCTGAACACCAAAAAGCTCATCCTGGAGTTTGAAATTTTGGTCGTACTGGTCCTGTAGCTCCCCCTTTATCTTCGCAAGCTCGGATGATAGACCATCAACCTTGTCCTCCAAATCATGCTTGGAGTCGGTAGAAGAACGGAGGTCTGCCTCGAGATTAGAAAACTTGTCCTTCCACGTGTCGATCTCCTTCTCTCGACCAATGACCAACCCTTCGTAATGTTCAATTATGTCATTGAGCTCGCCGTTCGCCTGATATTACACATAAACCCGGAATGACGGATCAGTTCGAAGAAGACAGTAAAGTCAGAAAAATGAAGCAGAACTAACTTGAGATGAATGATGAGCATGAAGTAGGTATCGTTCACGAATTGCAGAGCGCCACTTGTTGAATTCCGGCAGGATCGCACCTGACCGGGTTTTGAAGCACCAAAAAACGTTACCCTCTTTCTCCATGGCTACGAAAGCAAAAGAGGAAAGGTCTTAGAAATTCAAAATAAGTACAAGACGAAAAGAAAAGAATACATGTATATCGTCATACCTGAGAGCGATTTGATCTGAGGAACAAGAGCAGGCTTTGTCTTCGGAGAATCATCTCGAGACTCAGAACTATCCTTCTGAGAAGCTGCACCCAGGTTCGTCTTCTCACCACTACGTTGAGAAGAAGAAGACATATCAACAGGACGAGGAGGACCCATTGGTTCAGTAGGAGGGGACGATCGAGGAGAACGGTCAGTCCGGGCCCTTGACTTCTCTCTTCGCGGAGAAGAACCACTGCGGGATGACCTGTCCCTCTTTTTGCGAATTAAATCCTTAAGCGGTTCGTTGCTAAAGTCATCCCGGGAAGAACAATGAGAATCACGGTTAGGAGATTGAAGCCTCCGGGGAGGACGGTCATCGTGACGTTCACGTCGAGGTGTCAATCTGAAAACGGCGACGGATCTGGCTCCTTCGGTGCTACCGTCGTCAACCAATAAGGTTTTGCTATAATCTTTTTTGTCAATGGCGGTCGTAAGGAACGCCTTGTTCTTGTCGCAAGCCTCAGCCATCGGCTTGGAGATCATTTTTCGCTGGGCAGTGAGAGCCCGAGCTGACATTCCCTGGGTTGAGGGAGGAGGCGGAAGACGATGAAGTTGATTGGGAGGGCTCATCCTGAGTTTTCGATTGGCTTCTATGAACCGTTCGAGAGTGAAAGAATTCCAAGGGTTTCCCCTTCGAGGATTATTTTGAAGAAGCCAATGAATTCTTCAGTTGGTAAAGTCGGAGCGACGAAAGCTGCGAAGTGAAAATAACAAGTTTAATCAATAGGAATAATAAAATTGGAGGAATGTATGCGACCTAATTTCTACCAGGTTTCGCAGACCACTTCGATGGGAGTAAATCTGATAGACTTCCAATCGAAGCAGGGGTTTTCTTAATCAGGAACCAAGGGTGATGCCAATTTTCATCCTTGTTTGGAAGATGTGAAATGACGTTCCTGTTAGCATTAGGGTATGCCGAGAAATACCCGTCTTCTTCGATGAACTTCTCACGTTTAGAAGC